GTAAGTGTCTTTACAACTTCCTGTGGCTATACATATTTCAGAGTAAAAATTTAAATCCAGGGCCGGGGAGATGGCTCAGTGGAATAAGCGCTTCCCTGGCAAGCACAAGGGCCTGAGTTCAATCCCCGGTTCCGGAAAAAGAAAAAAAATCCAATAGGAGGTTGCATAAATTATAACCTCACAGTGCAAAGTTGTTGCTATAAAGCCCAAGGAGGACAGTGTCACTGCTGCCTGTCCCTGTGCCAGGAGGACCCGGGGCTGCCCAGGTAGGCTGCGTTTCCCAGCAGCCCTTACAGCTGGGCTGCGAGTGACTAAGTTTCTATGAGGAGCAGGAGGGTCGAGTGTGCCAGGGCCAGCACAGACTCAGCACGCAGCAAGTGTTCCCTGTGTGCAAGTGGGGAAGGTGGCTAGTCACTTCCGCCACAGAGAGCCTGTGTGAGGAGGGCAGGAAAGGGTCCTGGAGGCACAGGAGCGTGGCCTTCCCACTGGAGCGCAGCTGAGTAGGGTTCGTCTTTAAACCACTGCACCCGCCGTGGCTTGGCCTCCGCTAAATGGAACCCAGCAGAACAGCACAGCACGATGGACACAGTTCAGAGCGCAGCAAGACTGCAGGTGCACGTGCCGAGCGTACCAGTGGTTGCTTTCTGCTGGGGCAGGCAGGGGTGCGATGTACCCTGCTTATTCACGTTACCTCATTTCTACAAAAGGGATCTATAGGTGCTTTTAGTGGTTAAGAATGCTGGCTGACGGCTGAGGTGAGCCAGGAAGGAGGTGGCAACCTCTTGGCCCCCAGCCCTGGCAGCCCGCGTGCAGGCGGTGGGCTCCCTGCCCCCACCTCCTGCTCGTCCCTTCTATCCCCCGCCCCATGCCGCTCACTTCCGTTTCCCGTCCTTCCTTTAGTCTCTCCATTGGGCCCAGAGAAGCAGGCTGCGTTTGAAGCCTGCTGCTGGCAGGACCTGCCTGGCCTCTGTGCACCAAGCCACAGCACGTGCCATCCTGAGGCCAGGCAGTCTCTGGCTGGAATTTCAAGCTCAATTAGCACAGATAGGCTGGGGATGCTCGTGAGCAACTAATCACCTCCCCGCTGCCGGTGGTGCTGCACCTGGGATGTGCCTGTGAACTTTCAGGCTCAGCGCTTCAAGCGCTAATAATAGACAGCAGCGAACCTGCAATTTTAAATTCAACTGGAGAGTGAGCTAGGAGGCTCCTTCCTCCTCCTCTAGGGAGCTGGGGCGGGGATGAGGGGAGCCTGCTGTCCTACACTGAAGCCTGGCTCTGTACAGAGCAGACAGGCTTGCGCTAGCCACTTCACCCCACTTCTCTCTGATGCACACCCTGAAGGGCCCTGCACAGGGCCGGCCCAGCCACCGCTGTCCACTGAGCGCGCAGGAGCACGACAGCACCCAGGGACCATCTCCAGAGTGCCTGCAGGGACGCCAGTGTCCTTCCTGTCCTTCGCTGGACCTGATGACTAGACAGCACCTCCCGTCAGGTTCTTGGGGGCTCACGACCGTCGGTGGCTGGTGCTATCTTTTCTCTCCTAGCTGGGTGACCTTAAAAGCTGCTCGATTTAGCATCAGGCCCACTCTGACACCCTCAATGCAGTGGTGAATCGGGGCATTAACACTGAAAGATCATCCTTTCGAGCTGTCCGTGGTGTGAAGTGTGAAAACGTCACTCGATACCAAAAGGCCAACTCCTGATTTAGTTGAGATGAAGAAAGCTGGACAAACTTTCCTGGGCTGCTCATCCCATGCTAGCTCCCAGCGGGCGCCTGGTGGCGTGAGGTCCCCTGGCCCACGGGCAGTACCGCAGCCCACAAGGAGGGGTCTTAAGCCCTCTGCCCGGGGAGGGAGCCTGTGTGTGTCCAGTCAGCGCCTTCCCGCTGAAGGACACCTGGTCCAACTCCTCCCATCTCACGCCCTGCAGAAGCCACCTTCCACCCTCGTGGGCCCCGAGTACCAGCCTCTGCCCTGCCCAAGGTGCGCTGAGGAAGCCCCTCCGCAGGGTCCCTGCAGGGCTGCTGGACGGACGCTGCAGTTCAGGCCTGTGCGGGCGCCACCACCTGCCACCGCTGGCTGCTGGCCCTCAGCTGTGCCGCCATCTCTGTGGCGTCTCCTTTTACTGGTCGCTTTCCCTAAGTGGATAAAAGCTTCCAGTGCTCCTGCAGACGGGAAAGCCTCACCTGCCATCCACAGAGGGTGTCTCTAACAAAGGCGCAGAGAAAAAAAAACCTGAGGCCACCAGAGGCTAAGCAGGACCCGCAGCCCGCGAGCTCGCCTCGCATGCAGGTGGGCCGCTCCCGGGCTCAGCGGGGGCGGGGAGCAGCTCGAAGTCCCACAGCTTCCCCACGAGCTTGCCGGCACCACCTCTTCGCCCATCCGTGGTGTCTCTTCACATCCCAGCATCTCTGCAGTGTGCGGTCTGCCAGCTGGCCATCACAAGGACCGTGTCACTCTGCACGTGCTCCGCCATCACCATCACGTCATTGCACGTGGGCCGTGCCTGTCACCAGCACTGCATGGGTTCAGTTCGCCCACCCGAAACATCTCTGAGACGAGCAGCTCGGAGGGAAATGTCAGCAGGCACCAGGGACCCAAGCGAGGAGGGCAGTCCGGGAATCCCAGGCTGTGGCTGCGAGCCAGACAGGGCCGTCCTGGGCTGAGCAACAAGAGCCAAGGCGGGAGAACCCACCAGCCCCTCAGAACAGTGAAGGGAACTTCACAGCAATGAGGCTGGTGTGGCTGATTCCTGTCTTACAGGGTCAGCTGAGACCTGGCACCAGCTCATTGGCAGCGTGTCTTAGATCCGATAACCATGGAGCTCTCTCCAATGCCCCTCCATAGGAAAGGCGTGAAACCCCACGTGGCTTCTCCCACTTCTGCTGCCACCGTGCTCTTCCATGCCAGCGCCCCTCTATGGGCAGAGACCTGGGCTGCAGCCTGCACCATACTTGCTTGAAGGGATGTAACTAGGTGTTTCTAAGCCCCCATGGAGGCTGCAACCATGTGTGGAATGGTTCTAGTCTATGTGCCCCATCCCGCCACATTCAGCCATCCTCTGGCTCCCTCAGCCTAGTGGGGCAGGCACGGAGGGCTGGAAACCACGCCACCCTTCCTGCAGCCCCTTCTTGCTCCAGCCTGTACCAGGGCAGCAATCCTGACAGACAGGGCCGTGGCTCTAGGGGGTTGTGTCAGGCACAGCAGGACCCAGGCAGATTGGCTAGAACAGGTTTGCAAGAGTTAAATGAAGGGACAGGGTGCAGATGAAGGGGCCTCCCAAAGGCTGCCCCACTCTGGGTCAGGCGTCAGGGGTTCAGCAGAGACACCCGCATGCAGGGGCCCATTCTCAAGCACCTTGGAAGAGGAGTCTGCCAGCCCACATGACCTTCTCTGTGGAAGAGGCGGAGTGTCCTCAAAGAGCTGCCAGAAACACTGGCCATCCAGGAGTGGGACGAAAGGGCTGAGAGGAGCTGAGGCCTTGTTCTGGGTACAAAAGGTTTATTGTTTATAAAAATAAGTTACAAAACCACAACAGGCCTGAGCCCGGCGAGGTAATACATGCGTGCATGGGGCACTCCCGGGGACGGCATGGACATGACTGATGGGCCGGCCTGGCTCACCGGAAGAGCAGCACGACTGCTGACGTGACTGTCCCCTTGCTTGGAGAGGAGCAGCGGGACACAGCCGGGGGGCTCGGGCGTGAGAGCTAGGGATCACTGGAGCAGGGGCAGGCAACAGGGCGTCCCACAGGCTGGGGCTGGGCAGGCTCACTGGCGGCAGGTGTCGTGGAAGGCTTCTAGGGTCCGGAAGTCCCTCCAGGTAGGGGGAAGGCCGTCCTGCAGGAACTTCCCGCAGCGCTGGCAGGGGGCCTGGAACAGCTTTATGTAGCTCCTCAACCAAGTCTAAAGGGAGAAGTGCAGAGGGTGCCTGCTGACCGCGAAGCCCCGGCGCCCCTCCCTGGCACGGCTGGCCTCCTGATACTCATCTCACCGTTCTCTGCTCCACCCACATGTGGTGGGAGGGGAGTCTTGGACTAGAGGAAAGCAGCTCCTGGCTTATCTGATTTGGGGTCGTTGCTCACTGTGGCTGTGGCCTAACATACGCAGCAGACTGTGGGCATGGCCCGGGTGCCACCAACTGCATAGTTAGCAGGCTCATGCACTCTGGAAGTTCAGAGAACAGTGTTTTTCTGGCACCATCCACAGGGATGAGGTGCACGTAACTCAATTCTCCAACTCGAGGAGCTCAGCCTGGTCCGTGGCAGTAAGCTCCGTGAAGGGGCGCATGCGCACTGGCACGGAAGGGCCTCCTCAATTGTGCTGGTAAGGCCAGCTGTTCTCTGCAAGGCTGCTGTGTTTACTCACAAAGATTCCCCTTGTGGCCGCAGGGCCTTCGGTGGCAGAGTGTGGGGTCTGGGTGACAAAGAGCCTTCTTGTTTACTGGGCCGGGTACTGGTGAGAACCTTCTGTGGCCCCCTTGTCCTCCCACACAAGGCCATTGGGCGCTGGGACATGTGATAGGGTGTACAGGGCAGGCAGCCCCTGCTGGGCCTGCTGCTGGACAGGCGTGTGGTGTCCATCCGCAGCCCTCCCAGCAGGGCGACAGGGAGTGTGGGGCCAGGACGTAAGGGCAGGGGGTCACGTCAGCACAGGCCTGGTGCAGATTGGGAGCTCGATAAACTCTGACTCAGTCCCGGAGACTTTGGGGCTCACTTCTGACCAAGACTGCTGCTTGTCTAGCAGTGCCAGAGACCCCCAGCGACCAGCTGGAAGTGGCTGGCAGCCCCTCGTGCTTATCTCCCTCTGGAGGGCCCTGCAGGCCGAGGGTACCACCCTGGGGCCATCTGTCCTCCCTGAGGGGACTCACCATGAAGGATCTGACCACAACATCTGGCATCTGGGGCAGCTGGTAGTGAAGCAGGGCGGTGGTGGCATGATCTGTCACCTGGAAACAATGAAGAACAGCAACTGTGTTAACAGCCACAGAAAACCGGGATGCTCTCCTTTATATGTGACAGCTCTGCTTTCTGGCCGTCCCTTGGAGGAAGGACATCTAAAATAAAATCTCACATAGGAAAATGAGTTAGCAGAGCGGGCCAGGAGGAGGGAGGAAAGGGTGGAAAGGACAGAGGCCTGGGGGTGCGTGGCATGTGACATTCGGCCACGAACACCTGCACAGGTCAGAGCAGCAGGAGGCAGATGAAGCCCAGAAGACCACGAGGTGCCTTCCTGACGCTCCTGCTGCCTCCTCTCAGTGGAACAACTTCCCAACAGACAGCGTCACAGTCCTACTTCCAGGGGCCATGGAGGCACTGCGTGGCCGTGCATGAGGCCTGAGGCTGCAGCCCGTGCCGTCCTGGTTCTGACCCGGTGACTCATCTGCTGAGTCTCCAGTCTTTTCTGCTGCGCCCAGATGCCCTGCAGTCCTGAACCATGATGACACCACGAGGTGCTAATGCCACCATCAATCAGCAAATTAATAGATTCTGCTAATTTAATAGTTGTGTTCAAACTAATGGTTTATTTGACTGTGCTCATTAGGGATTCTTGGCATTATAAATGTGGCTAAAGAACAAAATAAAAACTGCAGATCAAATCACTCACTTTGAGAACAAGAATAGACCAAGGCTAACTCATGTGCCGGTTGTGCTGAGGCCTGGGAGGTGGCTATGCAAACGGCAGGTGGCAACTGGAGGGCCGGGCTGACTCTGAGAGCAGGCTGGCCATGTCCACACCCAGGAAGGCTGCACAACACGCCTGGGGCCAGCTTACCAGTCCTGTGGGGCCCGTGGCTCTGCTGTCAGGCCCCGGGGCAGGCACAGGAAGCCCTCACTCCTTCTTTCCCACCCTACTGTCCTGGGAGTTGGAGCATCTCAGGTGACAGGTGCTCTGCACATGCATGCTGAAGAAAAGCAGCTCACAGTGGCCTCCCTGCCAAGGCTCCTGTGTTGCTGTGTCCTGCGTGGCAGAAGAGTTCTTACCCAGTGACTTCCAAGAGAGATCACACTCATTCCTCCACGTGCCAGGCAGCTTTTATTTTGGGTGCTTTGACAGACAGCTTTCTAAAATGAGCAATGCTCTTTGTTAACAAGAACTCTGTGGAAGGCTGGTGGTGAGTGCTGGGGTGAGGGTGGCGCTGAATCCCAGCAGAGCGAACAGGGTCGGTGGGGCGGACCACCACGTGGCCCTTGGCCTGCTGGCTCCAGGCTGAGAGCCTGGGGTGGGGGCAGGCAGTATCGGGGCCGACCAGAAGCGCGGAGCCATGGCAGGGAGGCTCCGCTTTTTGGGGGCTCCTTTCACTCCTTTTGGAGGGCTCGGTGCTTGATCACAGGATCTTCACACTGGGCTACATCCCCAGGTGTCTTTTAATTTTGAGAGGGTGTTGCTAAGTCACTGCGTTGCCTGGGGGGGGGCCCTCAAACTTCGTGATCCTCCTGCCTCAGCCTCCGAGTGTACCACCACAACCTACCCCCCTCCCATTTTAAACACGAACAACCAAGATCTAAAATTCAGGGAACTTCATGAGCTTCCTCCAAGGCATCTGGAGATCCGTGCAGCCTCAGGGTAGTATGACAACGGGCTTTCCACAGGCTCTGTCCCGTCACCCCCATTTGGGGAGCTGAGGTGTGCTGCCAGGCCCATGGGCCTGCGCACCCCAAGGCCTTGCGGCCACCTCACTCACTTCAGTGCCTGCCTGGCCTCTGCAGCTTGGGCCCAAGCTGCAGCTCAAGTGTGGATGACACTGCACCCAAGATACCCTGCACCTGGGCCTAGCCTGTGCCCTAGACACCCAGCTTTACCCTGGTCCTCTTCCTGGCCTGAAAGACCCATGCTTGTATCCTTGTCCCCGCCTCAGCTGACGTGGACTGTCTGTGTATCCGAGATGAACCTAGCTTTGGTGGAGGCAAAGGCCTATCCCAGGCCAGCTGTGAGCCTGTTCAGTTTTGGCTCCGAGTGTCACCTGTCCCGCCCTTCACAGTGCTCTGCAGATGGCTAGAGGGTGGGTTGGGCCCCCAGCCACAGCCCAATGGGCAAACCTTTCCTGCCAGGGCAATCAGGTGACCTTCAAGGGTTAAGGTTTGGATCATGGCCCTATCCCTTCCAGAACTCGGCCTGGGGCAGGTTCCTCCATCCTCTGGTGTGACTTCTCATCTGGACAGCAGAATAACAGAGTACCTACCCTGTAAGAATGCAGGTGGTACTGAGCACAGACCTCATTTGGAGCTACCAGCAAGCAGGTCTGGGGGAGTGGGCTGGGCTCTGAGCAGTGAGGTGTGCCACACTCGGAAGAAGGCGTTCTCCCCTCGCCCCTGGCCAAAAGTAGCTTTCTTGTTCTGGGGACCTCAGTGGAGTCCAAGACAAGGCAGTTTGTCCTCATGGACTGTGAACTGACTGGGATCATCCAAGTTGTACAAGAGGGCTTTGGGGTGACAGTGAAAAACTGACCCTGCGGAATGGTGGTTTCTTACCTCTGAAAGGCTTTTCCAGGGTCACTGACTGTTGACCAATTTAAAGGAACTACCAAGCCCTGCATGCCCCTCCCGGTTCCCATGAGACCCAAGTGGGTGCTGGTCTTGCTTCTATGTGATCGGGTGGGTGTGGTTCTGTACAAAGACTGCAGGATACCCAACAGCACATGGCGGGGGAGGGGTGGCTTCTGTGCCACCCCCTTGGGGCCCTCCTAGTGTGTGAACTGGGTGGGGGTGGATAGGGGCCACCTGGCATGGCCGAGTCTCTGGGAGCCAGAATTTCAGGCAAACTACAGGTCAGATCTGTACTTGTAGTGGCAGGCAGCAGCTGGCCGGGAAAGGCAGTGTGACCTAGGACATACACCCCATCTCGAGTCACATGCATGCCATCGCAGCAGGGACATGTGGGCAATCTTTAGTCAGCCCTTCCCTGACTGGTCAGTAATGTGGCCAAACCCAGCCTCCTTTTCCGAAGGTCTGTATCAAGTATCCCTTTCACTGCAAAAGGTGAGGCTCCTTCCTTGCTGCCTGACGGGCTCCTTGGCATCCTCCACTCCCCACCACCAATCACAGGACGACAGTAGCAGAAGGGACTGGCCAGCTATTTGCTGTGAGGTCCTTCCTTCCTCCCCCAAACCTACCACCGCTGGCCTTCAGATTTCCACAGCTGTGTCCCCAGCGCTGGGGAAGACTGTGGAGCTTGGCAGACTCATCTGCTATGTGATCTTTCTCCTCAAAGTGTTCCACCTTCAATATGTTTTTGTTTTACACTTTTTAACAACAAGGTTGTTTTTTGTTCCACATCGAAGACGCAAAAAAAGCAGGCCTGGGGCAAAAAAGCTTTCTATTAACTCATTTAGTGGCAGGCAGGTTGGGTCCCATTGTGCTGGAAGCTAATGAGATTCTGCGGGGAGATAAAAGCCACCCTCCCTGTGAGGCCAGGAAGGGCACTAATGCTCCTGAGGGAGCATGAGGCCACCAGTTGAGTGTGGAGCGCGAGCGCTGGAGACAAAGCCTGTGGGAAGATCAAAGTGGATGGGACCTAGGCAAGGGGGAAGGAGACCGGGAACTAGCAGTAGACAGACAGGCGACAGGCGGGGATGGGAAGAGGCGCCGGCCGGGGAGCGAGCACAGCTCCCATGGCTGGCTCACTCCTCTTGTTCCTACTCAGCGCAGGAGGAGAAGGCCTCTTTCAAGAGACCTTGAACCAGATGCCAGTCTGCGCTGGAGAAGAGCTGCCAGTCAAAACAGTCTCCCCAAGTTCCTCAGCCATCCTGTGCGCTAGGAGCAATGACAACCTGCTCCCAAGCTGGGGGCCTGGCTATTTAAGCTGAACCCTGCATGAGGAAGAGACAGATGGGACAGAACAAATCTCAGGAAACAGCTGTCCCAGGTTACCTCACTCGATCCCCACGATGGCCTGACTATCATGAAGGCACCTGCTTTGTCAGGTGACTGCCTGAGCCAAGGAGCAGGGCCCTGTCCACGCCACTGGAACCCACGACTGAGCTCCCGGGCTCTGAACCTCAAGCACAGGGGCTCTGCTGCAGGATTTCGGGGGGGGGGGCAGCCAAGCCCTCTCCTCCTAGGAGAGGGAACCCAAGCCTCCTGACAGCCCCGTTCCCCACGTGGGCCAGCATCCCTCTGCTTTCCTGCCACCTTGACCTGTGCATGGGGGCACAAAGTGCACAGACCCGGACTCCAGGGCCAATGAACCTCCTGCAGTGCTGTGTCAGTCCAGGGTGCATACCTACCTGCCCAGGGAAGGAAAGGGGCGGAGGAGAGCCCAGGCTCTGTTGCCCTCTCCCCTTGCCCAGGGCACAGGCTCAGGTACAGCAGATACCCTCCCGCTCACAGTCAGCCCAGGGCCCTGGTCTCAGGAAACCCAGAGCGAGCCTGCGGTGACACAGCGGCGACACAGAGGACCAGGAGGCAGGGGAGAACAAAGCTCGCAAGCAGGCATTAGCGCCCCCAGAGGGAAGACTGCTGAAGTCTGGGAGGGTGGCCCTGCTGGGCGCCAGGGGGCGGGCACGCCGGCACTGTCTGCAGAAGGGTTCTCCTCGTGCTTTCCCCCATTTCCTTCCTCTACCAACTTGGGGAATGTGACTGGATTTAAATGAAAACACATTAATTCTTGCCAGGGTTTAAGCAGCTCCCGGACTGCACCACTGTGCAGGCACTGTGACTAGAAGGCGGACACACTGCCACTGGGCAGAGCAGCCACACCCATGGGCCAGTGCACGTCACTGCGGCTTCCTGCCACCAGGGGGCGGGACGGGGACCGAGCTCAGCTGGACGACGGCAGCACACAGCCTGATGCCTTCCTCTGCTGAGCTAGGAGAGCTGGGGCCTCCAATGATTACGACTATTCCCTGCAGGATTACTGAACAGGAAAGTGAACTACCCGAGTGTTTAGAAGTTGCTCATTTAAAAGAACAGCCTGGTAGAGACCTGGATTCTGGTTTCCCTGCAGTCA